AACTCCTCCTAGTGTGTTCTGAAGTGGCATCTTATGAAAAGTGTGTGTGTGTGTGTGTGTGTGTGTGTGTGTGTGTGTGTGTGTCCCTATGAGCATGCAGATACACTTCTGAACACATCATAGGAAAAACTACTCTCCTAAGGGGAGCATTTCATCTCAATGAAGCTAATCCTAAATAATGAGTGTTTTTTTTTAAAAAAAAACTTGTCAGAGGAAGATCATGACAGCCATTTGGCAATCATCAACAAATGACTGAATCACATCTGCTTTCATCACAAGAATAACTGATGATGAAATGTAAATGATCCAGCATTCGGAAACATATGTAGCAACCTTTAGTTTACAGAGGATAGCCCAAGCACTTTGGATAGCAGGTATTGTAATTAGTGCAGATTTAAAAAAAATTATATATTTTCATAATTTAGGAAGTATCTCTTATTTTCTCTTCCAAAATCATTTATTAAAAATTATTATTATGGAATATTTCTTTGCGCACAGAGATTGAAGCTTTATATTTTAGTTAGTATCTATTATTTTCAAACCAGAGCTTGGATGATTTGAATCAGCGGTCTAGAAATCCTGGTGGTTCCAGGAGCCTGTTTTCTTCCCGGGGACCCCCCAGGGCTGCACAGAGCTCCGAGAAGCCACAAAAAGTGAAACTAAAACTGGCAGGATAGCCACAGCTGGTTTAAACAGTGGTGGCAGCTGTGCCATGCTTTAAAAGGTGACTCATTACTGTTGAGAACTTCATGTTTAGCCTTTCCCCCCCAACAATAGTAAAAAAAATTGTATGAATGACCAGATAAAGGTGGGCTGGGGATTACAAAGACAATCTTAGGTGGCCCTCAAACGACACTTTGGCAACCCGAGTCTTCATGAGTCTCTAAAGAACTTACTGAAAATTGAAAAGGAACTCTGGTGACTGAATGACACTCAAAACTGAAAGTCTCTGTGGTGGTCAGTCCTTGTGACCCAGTGATTAATTGTTGAATTGTTCAAGATTGTTGGGAGAGTAAGAACAGACGAAATAAAATATTTCTTTACCCAGCATGTTGTTAGTCTATGGAACTCCTTGACACCGGATGTGGTGATGGTATTTGGCCTAGATGCCTTTAAAAGGGGATTTAACAGATTTCTGGAGGAAAAGTCCATCGCAGGTTACAAGCCATGATGGGGATGTATAATCTCCAGACTTAAAAGGAAGGTACCTCCAAATGCCAGATGTAGGGGAGGGGTATCAGGAGACAGGTATCTGGTTGTCTTGTGTGCTTCCAGAGGCATCTGGTGGGGCCACTATGAGATACAGAGAGCTGGACTGGATGGCCCCTTGGCCTGATCCAGCAAGGCTCTTCTTATGTTAAGATACGAGCCTGCCCGTACTCTAAGATCAAGCCAAGAGGCCCTTCTGAAGGTGCCATTCCTGAAAGAGGTGAGGGGGATGGCATGTCAAAATAGGGCCTTCTCAGCTGTTGCCCCCAACTTTGGAATGCCCTCCCTATAGAGATCCGCCTGGCTCCAACACTTTTGGCTTTTCGGCACCAGGCAAAGACCTTTCTGTTTAGCCAGCATTTTACAGTGGTGCCTCGCATTACGACGTTAATTAGTTCCAGTGAAATCGCTGTAGAACAAAAACGTCGTAATGCGAAAAGATAAAACCCATTGAAACGCATTAAAACCCGTTTAATGCATTCCAAAGGGCTTGAAACTCACCGTCCAGCAAAGATCCTCCATAGGCCATTTTGAAACCACCAATCAGCTGTTGGAAAATCATCGTTTTGCGAAGAATCAGTTCCCGAAGCAGGGAACCGATCATCGCAAAGCGAAACTCCCCCATAGGAAACATCTTTTGCGATTGCAAAAACTTTGTCGTAATGCAATTTCATCGTTAAACGGGGCAATCGTAAAGAAGGCAGCACTGTAAATTGTAACCTTTAGCTGGCCATATGAGCAGCAGGATTTATTAATGATAAATTGACTGTTTTAATATAGGGTATTATTATAATATTGCCTACTTTAATGTTTTCTGAAGTTTTAATATTGTTGTACACCTCTCAGAGACCATTGGTAATGACGCGGCTAAAAAATCTTGTAAATAAATAAAATCAAATGAATTAAAAAAATTATAGATGTAGGCAACAAGGGGCCTGGGAGCTTTATCTAACTCCCAGGAAAGCCGACCCCTCTCATAGTCTCAGATCCTAAGGATGCCTTTATTATGTACCTCAAGAGATCTTCTTTGATGTAAGCTGAGGGGGGAAAAAAGAACTTTAATTGAGGAGTGGGTGATCTCAGTGGGGCTGAAGGATATTTTTTCCAGATATGCTGGCAGCTGAAGGACTGCACTCCCAATGAGTGGGCTAAAGGGGAGGGCATGGCAAAGAGATTGATGCAATAGGTTATTAACAGGAAAAATGTGTCAAACTTTAAAAATATGGGTTTTGAAACTGGATAAGCCCTCTAAGTAAATCTTAATGGCAAAAAAAAAAAAAAAATCCTGACTGAAAATTGGGGAGGGGAGCTCAAGCATAGCAAAACTGTGGTTCTTAGTAATTTTTTTAAAAAAATTAAATTTCTGGGGTTGATGAGCTCTGAGGGCTGGAAAAGTTCTGCTGGAGGCCATGTACAGCCCNTAGTTTAGTTTGCAAGGAATTGGCTGGCAGATAAAAGGAAAAAAAAAAGGTTTCTTAGCTCTTGTTCAGCGTGAAATGCAGTCTATTAAAAATCAGGTCCTGGCCAGGAGTCTTGAATTAGTGTTCTGCCTCCAGTTTGTAGATCTGAATCCAAGTTGTTGATATCCTTTGAATCAAATGCTCTAGATTGGTTCACCCTGTGCTTAAGTTTGCAAGGAATTGGCTGGCAGATAAAAGGAAAAAAAAAAGGTTTCTTAGCTCTTGTTCAGCGTGAAATGCAGTCTATTAAAAATCAGGTCCTGGCCAGGAGTCTTGAATTAGTGTTCTGCCTCCAGTTTGTAGATCTGAATCCAAGTTGTTGATATCCTTTGAATCAAATGCTCTAGATTGGTTCACCCTGTGCTTAGAATATGCTCCCAGTGCTTCCGATGCAATGCATTTTGCCTTCCTAAACTGTGTAATACCATTACACTATTAGGATTGAGTGTGCATGTGATTGTGGAAGGAACATTGTTGTACAGGCTCTAAGTAGACAGGTCACACAATTAAGGACTGATAGCTCCCTGGTCCAGCCCATGGCCATTTACACTCTGCCCTCCATTTGTGGGTATTTTTCTGAACAGAGATTCAGAAATGCACAGATTGTCACAGAGGTAGGGGACAGAGCAACCTGGAATGTAGAGGTATACAGGGTTGTGCATGCTTTAATTTGCACATGGAATAGATCGGGGGGGGGGTCCACATACCCTATTTTGAACATTTTGATACTTATACTGTACAACCAGTTCCTTAAACATTGTAATTCAGATCTGCAAATCAATGCTCCCTAATGCATACAAGCCCTGATATAAAGTCAAATGATAGGAACCGAATCTATAAAGTATGAGGGAACTTGATGGTTTGCCCACTTTTTAGGAAAACCTCACTATTGTTTCCATTTATTTGTGCACTTTCTCAATTTTGGAGTGTATCATTGGGTGAATGAGAGCACCAAGAGTAAGACAATATTACATTCTGACAATAGGGTCCATGTGGGAGACACAAGTTGGGTTGCAGAGCTGGAGGGATGGATTGCATGAAGGGAGAGTAGATTCAGAAGCAGTAGGCAGTGAACTGTGAAGGACTCCAGGATGAGCCACAAAGGAGACCCAGATGTGAGTTAGTCTATACATGGATGCAGTGTTCTGTGATTAACAAGAACAGCTGCTTGATTAAACTTAAATACAGAGTATTCTAACAGGGACTCTGGTAGACAAAGCACAGGTCAGTGGCAAATAGAAAAAGCTGTACCATTTTCAAGCAGTCCTCTCTTTCTCAGACCTGTTCAAGACAGACCATAAAATGAGAATATGGTGTGGGGAGCATATCCTTTCTGACATGTCTGTTTGCATCAATGTAATGTAGGAGGCCCCTATCTCCAGTCACGTTTGCCCTGAGTTGACAGAACTATGCTATGTACTGTAGTAGAGATGTGACTTCAATTATCTGTAGCAACCTTCGTTGCTTGAAGCTCTCCATGCTCTTTCACTTGTTTCTTTTGCCTTAGAAACTGGTGACACATTAGTATGAGACAGATAAACCCAGTCTGACTTGTTTATTGCTTCCTTTCACGTTTACCTCCTTCTAGAGTTAGAGGTGCTTAAAAGAAAGACTGCCCAAGAAAAACCCACTGTGGCCTGAGGTCAGGGTCAGTCCTTGCTCCAATTACAGATGAAGAGCAGAGCAGATCAGTAGAGCTATGGTGTGGGCCAGCTTCTGCACAGGTCACTCTGTAAGTATGCCACTCTTTCTGTCCCTGTTTAACATGGGAAGCCTTCCACCTGACACAGGTCGGTGTGCAAGGGCCTTTTCTTGTCCTTCTCTAAGGTGTTTGATTTCCAACCGTTGCATTTCAATGATCCTCTCTGCTTCTTCCTCTGGATTCAGCCGCTGGATGGTTGGACCTTCACGATCAGGTGAGATAGCTGGAAGAAATGGAAAGTCAGCCTGTTTGATAGTAACTGTAGAAAATGCTTTGAAATAAGCCAGATTGAGACATCCAGAAAAAGAGAACTAACAGAAAGGAAACACATGTGTTCTGATGTACTTGGTAATATGAACAAATCACGAATCAGCATTGTAGATCAACTGGGCTTATGGAAACCACCTGGTCTAAGTCCCCATTCCATGTAACCTAGGCCAGAAACTGAAGTTTGAAATAGCCTATGAATGTTGTTATGTTCTGTCACATAACATCCAACTTAATGGTTTTACCAGGGCAATCTCTGTTCAAGACAGACCATAAAATGAGAATATGCTATGGGGAGCATGTCCTTTCTGACATGTGTGTTTGCATCAATGTAATGCAGGAGGACACATTAGTATGAGACAGATAAACCCAGTCTGACTTGTTTATTGCTTCCTTTCACGTTTACCTCCTTCTAGAGTTAGAGGTGCTTAAAAGAAAGACTGCCCAAGAAAAACCCACTGTGGCCTGAGGTCAGGGTCAGTCCTTGCTCCAATTACAGATGAAGAGCAGAGCAGATCAGTAGAGCTATGGTGTGGGCCAGCTTCTGCACAGGTCACTCTGTAAGTATGCCACTCTTTCTGTCCCTGTTTAACATGGGAAGCCTTCCACCTGACACAGGTCGGTGTGCAAGGGCCTTTTCTTGTCCTTCTCTAAGGTGTTTGATTTCCAACCGTTGCATTTCAATGATCCTCTCTGCTTCTTCCTCTGGATTCAGCCGCTGGATGGTTGGACCTTCACGATCAGGTGAGATAGCTGGAAGAAATGGAAAGTCAGCCTGTTTGATAGTAACTGTAGAAAATGCTTTGAAATAAGCCAGATTGAGACATCCAGAAAAAGAGAACTAACAGAAAGGAAACACATGTGTTCTGATGTACTTGGTAATATGAACAAATCACGAATCAGCATTGTAGATCAACTGGGCTTATGGAAACCACCTGGTCTAAGTCCCCATTCCATGTAACCTAGGCCAGAAACTGAAGTTTGAAATAGCCTATGAATGTTGTTATGTTCTGTCACATAACATCCAACTTAATGGTTTTACCAGGGCAATCTCTCAGTGAGTTTCCATGGCTGAGTAGAGATTTAAACCCAGGTCTCTTGAACCCTTTCCCTCACTTTATCTACTACATTCCACTGGCTAGAAGAGGAAAATCCTTCACTAAGGTTAGTGTCTGAATGTTACAGTGTAGCTTCTATTACTTTCAGGATTATGCAGATTAATTTGCTTTGTTTGGTCATTGCTCATCAGGATTTAAGCATGAAATTTCTTTCAGGTTTGATTTCACAAACCTAGGGGGACAGTGTCAATGCTCTTTTCGTCAATCACCTTTCTAAAACAGTACTGAGATTTCAGTTCTAATTAGAGGCTATTTCTAACATCTGACTTTAGATCAAAGAGTGCATCAGTGTCAAAATATATAGCATTCATGTACACTACAACTTTGTTGGAGGCAAACATGATGAAACTGGGGCTGCTGTACTTTGGGCACATACTGAGTAGCAAAGTGGAAAAGGCAATGATGCTGGGAAAAGTTGAAGGCAGTAAGAAAAGAGGAAGACCAAATATGAGATGAATTTATGCTATGAAGAAAGCCACAGGCTTGAGTTTACAAGAACTGAGCAGGGCTGCTAAGGACAAAGACCAAATATGAGATGAATTTATGCTATCAGGAAAGCCACAGACTTGAGTTTACAAGAACTGATCAGGGCTGCTAAGGACCGGATATGTTGAAGATTTCTCATTTATAATGTTGCCATTAGACATAGGCTATTTGTATTTGTATCCCTGGGGATATGAATATAAATTGCAGCACCATAGGTGCTATGGAGGCCCATTCCCTCCTCCCAGAACCAGCTGACCCACTCACCCCACAGCACAGCGCTGGGGTCCGTTGTTGTCGCACCAATCTGGGAAGGAGCCCAGTCAGCACTTCCTCACCTCCCTGTGCAGCTGACCACTCCGGCGAAGAGGCGGGACAGGGAGTCTTCCTGCTCAGCTGAGCAGTCGGCTGTGCAGAGAGGTGGGGAAGTGCCAGCCGGGCTCCTTACCAGATTGGCACAACGACAACAACGGACCCAGTGCTGCGTCGCAACCAGTGAGTGCACCGGCTGGTTCTGGGTGGAGAGAATGGGCCTCTGTGGCACCTGTGGTGCTGCTCTTCATATTCATATGCCCCAGGTTACAAATATGAATAGCCTATGTCTAGTTGTCATAGTTGGAGGTAACATGATGGCACATCACAAGAGCAACAACAGAGTGTTGTTCACAGCCCACAGTTTTGTACAGACTGCTTTTGAAGCATGTACAACAACTTAAGTCTTGGGCTGGATGAACCAGTTTGGTTGGTCTATTTGGCCCACGGCCTGGAAGTTCCCCATCCTTGACATATGTGAGTTAAGTAAAAATATTATATACAGTTTTTATAAGTATTTAAATTAGTAAAATTATCTGACTTTTAACAGTTCAGTACTAGCCAGATTTCCATTTTGTAACTCAAAAAGCTTGAATCTATTCAAACAGCATACACAGATCCAAAAAACAGATAACAAAAAAGGAAAAGACAGAAATACTTTTCATCAAAGACCAGAGGACAAGGCTGAAGAAAGAAATAAGCACCTGTGGATTGCACTGATTGCTTCTTGCGTTTTCTAAGAAGTCCCAAAGTAGACTGGAGATCATGAACTTGAGTGCGAGTGACCTTCAGTTCTCTCCGCAGCTCGTTTATTTCTTTAATGAGGCTCACATTTTCCTGTATGATTAAGATACAACACAGCTTGAAGTGGTGTCTTTTCCATAAAGTATCCCTATAAAATCTTACAGAGATGTCTACTGTGCTAACTGGAGATTTTCGACCAGACACAACTCCAATGAGCTTATGTTCTCTATGTCTGATAGAAATAGAAAGCAAGTGGTGCCTTAATATAACAAAAGGAAACACAGAGATACCCTCATAGATGTCTCTTGAGACCAGCATGGTCCTTCAAGCCAGATGTTGCATGGATAACTGGCCCCTGCTCAAATCGTAGAGGGGCTATCATGGCTTGGGTATACAAAGGGCCTTTACAGCCTAGCCTCCCTGTGATGGAACCTGCAGGGAGGAATGGTAGACGTTCCCTCTGGAAGGTGGTGGTAGGGAGAAGCCACTATCCTGAGTGGCACAAATTCCTTTTGTGACCAGGTCAGTGTGTTATCAAATTTGATAAGGTATTCTCAGAGTAGTAGGTTTGTAATTCAGGCTGTGGCATATATTTTTCTTTTGTGTGCTCATGGCTCCCACTAATCTAATGAAATAATATTTATAAATTAGTATACAAGTGCTTATGCAGCAAATTTCCCTCTCAATACCACTGGCATGGTAGACAAGTGTTTGTTGATATACAGAACAACAAGAGCTTCTCCTTCTTGCTCCTCTCTTACCAGTCGCCTGAGGTTATCATTTTGGATATAACAGCTCTGAATAACGACTGCTACTTTTATGTACCGTAAATCCACTTTTCACTTATGGCAACCATAAAGGTATTTTTGAGGTATGTGAAATGTTCAAAGGAACTGTTAACCACTGCCATCTCCCAGTGAGTTTCCATGACCAAGCAGCCATTTGAACCCAAGTTTCCCGAGTCTTATTCTGACATTCTATCCCCTATGCGATCCTGGCTATCAGAATAAATTTTTGTTGTTGTTGTGTGACATTCAATCATTTCCAATATAATAGCATTAAAAAACAAATGAGATGAGGGTTTGAGGGAACCCATGCCCTTCAGAACCCTACACTGCCTGCTCTTATTACATGTTCAAACAAAGTTCCACCATATTGTTTTCCAGTACCTCCCAACTCAGGACATACTTGGCAACTGCTTTTCATACTTGCATGCAGAAACGTTTCACATGGAGTAAATGGAATTTCCAATGCACAGATGGAATTTCCGTATTGGAAAAGCAGACCTGCCCCTTTCTTGTGCTGGTACCTGCATAATGCGCACATAGTCTGCACGATGGATCTCGCTTTCCTTTACCACCTTTTTCTTCAGTGTAGCCAGGTTGCGCTCAAGATGCTCTCGCTGCCGTGTATACTCCTGATGCAAGTCTGTGTCAACTCCAACAATTTCCACCTGTAGCAGGAAAGGAAGTGAGCTCAAAATAGAGAGGATTGAGATTCACTGTTGAGAAGGAAGAATGCTGACTTACCATGTCTGCCTTCTGCACATACTTTTCATAGATATCCCTGATGCTTTCTTTTAGTTTCTTGGGCTCCTGGATAAGGCCCACACAGTCGTGAAGGTCAGTTTTAAATCGTTTGACAAGAGCTTCCATGTCTCGCTCCTGCAGCCAGAGAAAAATTAAAAAGCCTGATTCACCAGAATGCACTGTCTGCTGGCTAGGCCTTACTTCTTCAGCCCGGTCCTACAATCCTACAGTGGTGCCTCGACTTACGAATGTCCCTACTTATGACCATTTCGAGTTACAACCAGCTCCGGCTGCAAAAATATTTTGCTTCTAATTGCGACTGGAGCTTCCAGTTACAAACAGAAAAAGGCAGGGGAAAAAGGCAGGAAATTCAAATTTCTAACTGTAGGTAGCGACGAGGCTGCTTCTTTGTAGCTCTTTCACCCCAGCAGTTAGAGCAGGGGTCTCAAACTCAATTTATCTGGGGGCCGCTGGACGCAGTGTCTGGTTGAGGCTGGGCCACATCAGATTTTCTGCCAAGTGGAACAAGAGCCTGAAGAAGCCGCCCAGGAGTTTCCTTAGCCCTGCTGGGGCTCTGAGGAGGAGGAGGGGTGTGCAAGCCCTCGTTGCCGGCCACGACCCCCTCCGGCTCCTTCACTACCACCACCAACAGCAGGAGGATGATGATGAAGAAGCGGAGAAGGGAGTGAGTGCTGGCGACTGCCTAGCAGGGGCGGGGGAGGGCACAACATAAAATTTTTTTAAAACCCCTCACAGAATTTGCCTTGCTAAAGGAGAAAAACCTGCACCAGTACCTGCGAAATTAAACAGAATGGGGTGGGGGCCCCCACAGGTGCACACGCGTGCATGCACACAAACACAAACACAAACACAAAAACACACACACACACACGGAGGTCTGGCAACCTTCCTCTGAGGGTCCCGTCAAAAAAAAAGGCACATTCAGCAGCAGATACTGAGGCGGCCACTGGCCGGGCTGGTGCTGGTGGTGCCAAGAGAGAAAGAGAGCCAGAGAGCCGCTTCCCTGGAAGAGGTGGCAGCTTGGAGGCACTCTTCAAGGACGGGATGGGAGCAAGCTCCACTCTCAGGCGAAAGGAACTTTTCCAAAATCTATACAAAAGCTGCTAAACTGTAGTTCACTATGTGAGGGCCGTACTGGGATTCACATCCAAACTTCCCCTTAAAGAGCCGTTTTCCTTCTTTGTAAGAAAACACTTCTTTTTAGGACATCTGTTTAAAACAGAGGAGAGAAGTCTTTAAAACAGTTTGAGATGTGATCAGAGGAGGCTGCCTGGGTCTTGTGGAGTTTGTTTGTTTGTTTGGGTTTTCCCCCCATTTCCAATTTCTCCCATTTCCAATGGGTTTTGGGGGTTTGGTTGCTTTTTGGAGTGTTTTTTCCCATTTCCGATGGGTCTTAGGGGGTTTGTTTGCTTTTTGGGTTCCCCCCATTTCCAATGGGTCTTGCATGCTTCCCTTGCTTTTTCCTTTGTTCTCTTTGCATTTCCAACCTGGTCCCTTTGTTTTCTGTGCATTTCTGACCTGGTTCCTTTGTTTTCTTTGCATTTCTGAACTGCTTTGTTTGTTTTCTGTGCATTTCCAATGGATCTTGCACACTTGATTGATTGCTCCCGCCCTGTTCGGCGAGAAGGGATTAATCGCATTTCCAATGAGTCTTGCAGTGATTTTTTTGGTGATTTTTTTCTTCAGCTGGAATGGATTAATTGTATTTCAATGCATTTTAATGGGAAATGGTGCTTTGGCTTATGCCCATTTTGACTTATGCCCGTCTCCTGGAACCAATTAAGTTCGTAAGTTGAAGCACCACTGTATTTGTGAAATACATAACCAACTAGAGGGCATCCAAGTCACAGGGAAAGACTTCACTGCAAAACTCAATGAATTAATATTAGACCAAAAAAACGCAGGGATGCTGATCACTTGCAGTCTTGCCTCTCAGGAATTTATCAGTATATTATTTTGTAAATACAAACAACAAAGGTGGGTTCAGACAGCTTAGTCACACCCCTATCAAGCAGGTCCATGAATATGATAACTTTCACATATTAATCTCTGTTGTAAAAACAACATCCAAGTATTTACTCCTCTATGCCTCTGGTAACAAAAATTGGACTATCTGTTTCATATCCTTCACCATCTCTATCGCTTCCTTCACTCCTGCTAGGCTTACCTTCTGCATCTCTTTGTGCATCTCACGGTCTGTGGCTTTCAACTTCAGCCGCAACTCTGCTATGTTCAGTTCCAGCTGAGTGTTCTGTTTGTGGAAACGTTCCAGCTCACCCTCCATCTGCACAGATACATGAGAACTGATGAAACTGTGAAGGAAACTGAACAAAGCTCAGAAGAGGGATGGGCTGTCTCAGTGATTCTCACCTCCTGGATCTGCTCCTTCATGGCCTTGATATCATTCTCACGTGGTTCTATTTGTTTCTTTAACTCCTTTATTTTGTAATCTAGCACAAACTTGAATTTTTCTAGCTCCTGATTTTTTTTCTTCAGATCATAAATTCGCTTCTCCTGGGGCAAGTAAAACAGGCATGTGAACAAGCAATATCCAAAGAGTCATAGAGATACTGGTCATACCTCCCTCCTTAAGACCACTGATCAGGAAAAATGGAATCAGAAGTGATTTATGAGTTAATGGTATTGTGGAAAAAGAAGAACAAAGTTGGAGGAGGAGTGTAGAGCTCCAAGCATAAGCTCACAGACAGAAGACTGTTATTTAGAGAGTCTGATACTTTCTCCCTAGTGCCTTGGTTCCCAAACATTTTGGCCTGTGGCTCCCTTGACATACTGGCCATGGTCACAGCTCCCCTTGCTCGGAAGGGCCATTAGGGGTCTCTCTCCCACCGGAGGCAGGATCTTGAAGCCCTTTCAACTCTTCCCGCCAAAAATCCCCACGGGCCCACCTTCTTCCAGGTCCTGATGCAGGAAACTCACAAAGCCACCCAGCAGGCACTTCTACCAGGAACCATAGGGACAGCAAAAGGAGAGGCAGGCACATGGCTTGCATTTCCAGTTTCTGTTTGACACAGAGCTATGAAGGCTATTAAAGAGCTGTTCATAGAGTTATGAAGAGCTCCTCTAAAGCCTTCGTAGCTCTTACATTCCATCCTTTTCCCATGGTACCCTGGGTCTGGGGTTCACAGTGCCCCACTGAGCTGCGGTGCACAGTTTGGGAATCCCTGCCATAGTGAAGCTTTTTACCCAAAGAATTGGGGTGGGGGTTGAGGAAGAGAGAGGAAATCAGGTGAAGAACATACTAGAGATTCTGAAGCACCCCACCTTGTCCTGGATGGTCTCATCTCTTTCTTGAATCTCTCTCTTCAAGCCCAGAATGTCCTTCTCTAAGGCCTTAATGATCCCCTGCAGCTTTTGCTGCTCCAGCTTCATTCCCTCAATGTCACTGCAACGTTCCTCAATCTCTTTCTGGAGACTGTTGAACTAATAGGAAATAATTAACCTTATTAATTTTTATACTCATGTCAGATATTCATGTGGCATATGGTCTCAATTGCCACATGGCTAGCAGACAAAAAGAGTTTAAATCTTATTAAAATGCCATGAGATGGACTGTAAGTCTGATAACCTAGAAAAATCTGAGCATACCTTTTTCCTCATGATCCCTGTCTCTCCCTTTAACCGCAAATTGGATTCTCTTTCATCTCGAAGTCTCCTCTCATATTTGATTTTAATATCTTGAATTTCTCGATCCTCATCTTCCTCGATCTGTTTTTTAGTTTCCTCAAATTCCCGAAGCTGTTGCCTTGCATCATCTTGAGCCTGAAAGTTAGGATGGGCAAAAGCAAGAGGGAGGAGTGAAAGGAGCCCGAACAACACTGCTGGGAAATTACATGGGCATACTTAGGATTGTCTGAGAGAGACAAGACCCCAAGCTAGTATGGGCATGAAATAAAATGGAATGCCTGTGCTCTGGGAATGTCAAGGAACCAGCATGATGTTGCAGTGGTGGAGATCTGAATTATATGGAGCTTAGAATAAAGGGCCTGATTAAAATCACTGACTGTGTTACACCAATGACTTGGGAATACAGTGGTGCCCCGCATTGCTAGCACCCCGTTTAATGACGAATCCGCATAGCGATGCGGATTTTGCGATCGTAAAAGCGATCGCATTGCAATGTTCTAAATGGGAGAAAATCGCATTGCGATGATCGGTAAGCGTTTCGCTTACTGATCTTCGTATTGCGATGTTTTAAAAACAGCTGATCGGCGGTTCCAAAATGGCCACCAGGTAAACAAAATGGCCACCCGCAGCGTTTTTGTGTGGTTTCCTCGCTTACCGGGCGGCGAAAATGGCGGCCGGACGGAGGATTTCCGCATAGCGGTGAATTTTTTCCCCATAGGAACGCATGAAATGTGTTTTAATGTGTTCCTATGGGGTTTTTTGCCCCGCATAGCGAGGAATCCAGATAGTGACTTTTTTTGGAACGGATTAACGTCACTATGCGGGGCACCACTGTATAGAAGAAAGGATCCAGACTAAGCCATATAGTTGTGCAAGCTTTGAGTGCAGTGAAAATGAAACTGTGAGATTTTGGCACTACTAGTGACTGTGAGATAGACATACAGATGGGAGGTGTGCCATCTATTCTTAAGAAAAAGTAGGTACCTATTATCATGTATGGTGGACATGTGAAAAAGCAAAAAAAAAAGGACTAAAATACACACATGGTTGGTTAAAATGCTTACAAATGTATAGATTTTAAACCAGAACTGTTTTTATTAGGTATTTTACCAGAGGATTTTGATAAACAATTGGTTTACCTAACACTGCATATTGTGACAGCAGCTAGAATTGTTGTGTTTGCACAGCATTGGAAAAACGAAGAAATGCCAAAAGAAGAAGAGATAATTAAGATTTTATATTGTGCAGAAATGGATAGACTTACATAATCCGTTCCAATTGGAATGGATTAACCGGTTTTCAATGCATTCCTATGGGAAATGGTGCTTCACATAACGATGTTTTCACATAACTTTTTTTTCCAGAACCAATGAACATCGTTATGCGAGGCACCACTGTATAAAGAAAATTACATTACCCTGGCTGAACTGAAGGAACTGGCAGATCAAATGAATGACTGGGGATTTGGGTTTAAATATGGAGATGTTAGAAAGCTTGGGAAAGAGTGAACCAATACAGGATGCTGTTTTGGTGGGAAAGGAGGAGGACAAAAAGATAAGTGAGAGGGAAGGGGAGTTAGTAGAGGGAGAAGAGTACTGGGTGACTGTAGTGAAAAGGGAGAAGAGAAAGATTGGGTCAAAACAGTTAAAGAGGACCCCTGGTCTGGAGAATGGGTCACCCAAATAGTACTTCCAGAAGCTGCCAAAAGGGGGTGGAATGAGAAACCAGTAAGAAAACCTCCCTCCTGGGGAGAGACTGAGGAGAGGCAGGAAAGAAAGGCAGAGGTTTGCCAGACAAGCTAATTATGAAGAAACTAGACCATGTCCAGACTCCCCTGGGATCAGTCAGATCCAGTTGCCAGTCAAGGTTAGGAGAGATCCAGGCCATCATATTTGGGAGCCCAACTTGGGTTGGATATTTCACAAGTAAACCAGTTTTTGAATGTTGAGGTTACTTCTGCCCCAGTAACAGGGGATTTAATGTTACCTGAGTTACCTAATGTAACCCAACAAGAGATTTTAAACATATATTTTACTAAAGATGAAAACATGTTAATGTATGAAGAATAAGCTGTTAACTGTTCCAGATGAGTGTACATCTGATGTTGTGCAGGAAAAGGAGGGTTCAAAGGAAGGAGAGGGCTTGCCCAAACCTCACACTGACTATAGTCAGAAATGGCATGTTAGCATGGCTAGATCAATACCTGCTGCAAATATTTTTGTATGTAAATGTAACTGATAAGTACTTCAGGCTTGTGCTTTTGCGGCAAATTCTGAGAAATTCCCAATGCAATGCTTACAAAAAATGAACAAAGAATGAAGCCTACCAGACAAATATTGAATGCTCAGAGCTGTAATTGAGATTAACATGACCAAAGACTTCTGATCAGAATTTTGTAATGTAAGGGACAAGATCAAAGATCTGGAATTGGAATGGATGCTCATCCATTCAGGAAAACATGGCCAGAACTGCACACAGGTGAGAGAACAACCACAAGTAAAGGTCAATCACAGGCAGAAGATGAAGCCATGTGTCATTGCTAACTTCAGGTATAAAGAGAATCCTATTTCCCTGTATTATTACCGTCTTCTCTCTGACAAGGCATCTGTACTCTTTACATATTTCCCATTAAGCCCTGATCTTAATAGAAGCTCCAACATTCAGGTGACATTGCCATCAAACAGTTGCCTGCTGATCTGAGAAGCAAGAACAGTTTTTAAGAGAGAGGGGTGGTTTTTAAATGCCTCAGGAACTGCACAGCTCCCTAATCCTTACTTTATATGGAACAATTTGGAACCGGCTCCCTGTAAATTTGAGTAAATCCTGTGCTTTCCTGAAAACAAGGAAGGGAAGGCAGCAAAGGAGGCACAAATGCTTTCTTTGTAAAGGCCCTTTGATAGAGACAATCATGAGTTTATTTTGAAGTCCTGTGACTCAGCAGGCAATAGATTATATCCATGAATATATAACAATTAACAACAATTTGCACAGCTGGATTTCAGTTAATTATCTCAATTAAAGTTATGTCATACAGTGAAGAACTAGCAAGGAATCAGAGCTTTCCGTACTGACTAGAAAGCTGTCCTGAATCCTGGAAGGAATGTTCCCCCAATTCAATGCAGTTTAAGGAAGGGAAGGAGGGAGGGAGGATGAAGAGTATCAGCTCAAACCTCTTCCAGCATAGTGGACTTCTCAAGCAGCTTTGCCTCATAATACTCTGTCAGTTCCTCCATTGCCTGGCTCTTGTTCTCTTCCATTTCATGAAGCTGCTTCTCATATTCCTCCTGCATGCGCTGGGACTTCATTTGCAGCTCCTGGTACTTCTCATACTCCAGCAACAGCTTTTGGTTGTTGCCAGATTCTGACCAGAGGATGAAGTTAAAAGAGGAAAAAAATGAAGAAGACAATAATGCACTATGGAGATGTATAGTATGTTTTCTCCTCTCTGGGTCAATTTTGATCTCCGGACTAGCACCAGTCAAAGATGGGCATCTCTTTGTACTTGCCCTTGTAATTATTTTAACTGCTTACGAATACTTGCCATCACCAGATCTTTAAGCCCTGCTTGTGTTACTTTCACATGTATGTCTGCACAGGACCTTCCCACTCAATCATTTTGACTCTTTAGAGGCAAAATCAGAAAAGCAGGAGATAAATTCCCCACTGACAACCCTAACCCAAAACAGGATTGATATAACAGGGAAATAATGCAGAATAAAACGTTGGCTATATGTGGTATGACCAAGCATCTCCAACCTCCAAGTTCATGGGTCTAACCATACCTTATGGATTAATTTTTACACTTTTTATCCTTTTAAATTTTGCTTTCATTTATTGCTATCTGTACTAGGAGATATTATTATAACAAAATTGGAGTTAATTTCAGTTTAATAAAAATATTTTCAGTACACATATTGAGACTTGTCTTAGCTACTCCTTTCACATGGCAGAAAACATTCAGCACTATAAATGTTTTTTAATCCTTTCTTCATCTTTTGCTATGACAACTGAAGCCCTTTCTCCCATTCTGTTGGCAGCTGTTACTTAAATTCAGCCTAACCTAGGTCTTGAACCTCTCTTGACTGCTTCTCGATTAGTTCTGTAAGTTGCTCCTGGTGTTGTGCTTCCTGTTTTTCTTTCTCTGTTTTTAATACCTGAAATACATAGAGATGAAAATTTCATCTGAAACTAAGCATGCTGACCTTCATTTCCTTCAAGCGACAGCATAATGGAAAAGGTTTTTAATGAAAAATACAGCACTGCTGAGAGATGCAGCTGCTGTTTGACCCACACCTGGTTTTTGGTTTTTAGTGACTCCATTTCCTGGACAAATTTCTCAGTTAGTTCCTTAATCTTTTCATTATAATTCATATCCTTGAGACGTAGCTGGTACTCATTTTCCATCTTCAGCTCCTCTACACGTGTTTTCAGTTCTACCATGACTTGAGTCTATAGGGGAGATGTGAGCAGATGCAGTCAGTGACTAAGTATTCATATAGGTCAGAGATGGGTAACATTTGGCAGAGCTATTTTGGAGACCCCTAACATCTCTGGTCCCCCATGCCCACACACCCCCACTCATTTTCCTTCTTTGCTCAAAAGGCCACCTTGTGCCTTTTGGGGGCATTGGGACAATTTCCCCATGTTATGAAAGGCCCCAACACTCCTGAGGTCCCTCATAGTCCCAATACAAACAAACAAACAAATAACACAAACAAATGAATGACAATTGCCACTAGACAGCACAAGAGATCATTTTCTGTTTCTGACTTTTTTTAAAAAATTAAACCTATTTTTAGTTAATAAAAAAATCACTGCAATACCTATATATTCTATTTAAATAAATAAATAAACAAACATGCAAACTGATCTTTTGAGCCACACTCATTAGCCTTCTTTCCCTAAGTGTATGGCCCTTGGCCTGACTGAATGCTGAAATGCTGAAAAATAACCCACAGTCCTGCTTAACTTCCCCATTATTGACAAAGGCTTAAAATACCGTATATACTGTATATAATATTATAACAGTCTTGTCCTCAGTCTCTTGCCAGAATTATATTTTATGACTAATTAATACAGTGTAATTCATACATATATGCTCAGAAGTATGTCCCACTGAACTCAGTGCAATGTATTCCTAGGACTGCAGCCTAAATTTGTTTCAGATATGCATAAAATACATACAATAGTTTTAACATTTACACAGTGTGTCAAGGTGATGTATATGTGTTTATTGACTACACATGTATGTGTGATTATGTGTTGTTAAGTTGCTTCCCAGTTTGACACCTTATCTATCAAACCGTGCTGGTTCTTTGGTATCAATGATATTCAGTTAATAAAAAAATCATTGCAATACATATATATTCTATTTAAATAAATAAATAAACAAACATGCATACTGAAATGTTATATATTGACCTTCTCTTCCATGTCTGTCTTAGTGATCAACACTTCATCAGAATATGGAACGTCTCTCTCCCTTTTCAGTCCCCGTCCCTCCTTGTCATATACTTTCCAAATAAATATGCAGCCATCCTCTGCACCTGTTAGCAAGAACTGGTCATCAGCAGTTATAGACATCTGTGAAGAAAAAAGAAGTCAAAATGAATCCTAAAAAAGTACAGCTGGGTAGTCAAAGAAAAAGAAAAGGAAGGACAGTGGGAAGAATCAGGAGATTTCCTTTCTAGATTCATAAAAATAGATATACAGAACCACTACTTAGTAAATTTCCTACCTTTGCAAATGGTTTTGGTCATTACATGTACTCATTTAAACAAGAATAATTGTCATATACTTTCCAAATAAATATGCAGCCATCCTCTGCACCTGTCAGCAAGAACTGGTCATCAGCAGTTATAGACATCTGTGAAGAAAAAAGAAGACAAAATGAATCCTTAAAAAGTACAGCTGGGTAGTCAAAGAAAAAGAAAAGGAAGGACAGTGGGAAGAATCAGGAGATTTCCTTTCTAGATTCATAAAAATAGATATACAGAACCACTACTCAGTAAATTTCCTACCTTTGCAAATGGCTTTGGTCATTACATGTACTCACTTAAACAAGAATAATGCATTTGTTGTCATTTCTGCTCTTGTACTTCCAGGGCAAGACATCAAAGCTGAACTCATACGTTCTCCCCATGATGAAATACATGAAATCTGAATATGAGCAGAATTCACACATATCACCACAGATGTGACATACCAATCTTCTGTTGATGTAACTCTAGAACAGTTGTTCCCAAACTTGAGTCTCCAAGGTTGAACTACAACTCTCAGAAGCCTTCGCCAATAGTTGTGCTGTAGTCCAAGAACATCTAGGGACCCAAGCTTGGGAACCACTGCTCTAGAAATAAAGAAGAAGGAAGTGTGATTTACTGAGGTTTTCTTAGGATACGCGAGACATGTTTGTGTTTCCCATGCCTTTTCAAAATCTTGGACTATGCAGGCTAATTCAAAATCAGAATTGTTGCTATTGTTGCAGTCTATGGGAGCATGCTGACCTACACAGGAAAAAAAAGCAGAGGTAGACCTGTTGTCCATTAAACATATTCCAAAATTCATATTGGGGTTATATCTTTATCCAATCAAGTAAAAAGGGCACAAAAGGTGTGCTGGCTTTCAAGGTCACTGACCTCTTGTCCAGGTAAGATGGTGCAAAATTAAGCTAGGAAATGGGAAGGGCTGGTTTGAAGTCCTGGGTAAAATGGAGGAGATAATAAAATGAGGCAATAAAATCAAATGATAGAATCATGTTAAATTTCACCTGGAGCAGGTGACAGACTTGCTAAGAGCCAGAAAGTAAGAAAGGTTTAGTCCTTCATTTTAGACCATATGTCTCCACAGAGAATTCAGACCTCAAAGACTGGTTGAATTGAAAGGCTTCATAATTAGCAGAAAGAAGCAATGTTTATTCTGAAGGCCGAGATAATTTCAGATTATTTTAATTCTACTGGTTAGGGAAACTGTGATCCCTGCTGGTTAAGGCTGATGGAAGTTACATTCAAATATTATCTGGAGGGCCAGAAAATGCCCATCTCTGTTTCATTTAGAACACATTCTCATCATTTCCCCTCAACTGAAGTCTATCATGTCTGACATCTTCAAATTCCCATTAAGTTACCATGATTTATGAGATATGTATTTAGACAGGTCTTGTGAAGGAATTCAGAGAAAAAACCCAGTTAACAACAAAAGGGTAATTTACAGCATGGCGGTCAAAAGTATCATGCTGATTCCATACTGGTGTTAGAGAGCAGGTGGGAGGTTTTAGAGAATGATAGTAGACCATAAGGATTTTTAGAAGAAATAAATCCAGTGCAAAGGTCAGAGGTTCAAAATTTACTTGTAAATGGCCCTCCAGAAACTTGATGAGGAGATAGATGTAGAGAAGCAAAGTTTGGAGAGGGACTTACCGTAGGTAACAACTGAATGGGGGAGGGAGCAGAATGTGGGAAATTCTATGGGTTTGAGGCAAGCTCATTTGGATTTCTTCTTTTGACTGAATGATGCTAAGGGAAATGCGAATCAGTGTAGAGTCATCCTTCCTGTCCGCCCAACAAATCCATAGTTTTTCTCTCCATCAGTGGGGCTTCTACTTTTTTTAAAAAACTATGAGCAAATTTTCATCCATTCAGGTGTGTGATTGCTTGGGCTATTGCAGAAAAACTGCCAGGAACTGTGAACAAAGCCCTTTGGAGAACTTTGAAAGACTAAAAGTAGATTTTGCCCACAAGGGATTTTTTTCCCCTGAGTGGCATGTTTCCGATACACCCCAAGAACGAGAGTGAAGGTCCTTAAAGGTCCTTGACAAATCTAAATAGTCATTTGTGGTTTGTAACGTAAGTTGTAGATCTTTAGACTGAGAAAAATATAAGATTCCCAGAAGTGAGGGCAATCTAGAGGACTGAACCTGATAGAAATGTACCTGACCTTTCCTTACCTTGGTGACTGGGCCAGCATGGGCTTGATACTCATTGAACTCCTTGTGCACAGGCAATGGGTATTTCATGGAGCGGATGGTCCCTGTGGAGGTTCCAGCGAATACCATGCGCCCAGAATGAGCTACCACTATGCACGTGTAGACTACATCAAAAGTTGGCACTTCTCGGAGAATCTGAAAGACAGTTCTACAGATTGGGGTTGTCTTCATATGCAGCCAAACAGCTGAGAAAGGTCTGATTTTCAACTGCAAAGAGGCTAGGGTTTCACTGTTTAGGAGCTGTACCTGAGAAAGAGAATGTTCTGTTCTTTCCCCTCCCTCTGCACCACCCATTCCTACTTTACAAACCAAGTGCTGCAACTGAGGAGGAAATTGCAGGATTTTAGTAATCTACCAAGGCCATCAAAAATGTATAGGCTTTTTAAAACTGCTGCACTGGCAAAGGAAAAGGGGGCAATGAAAACAACTGGCAGTATAAGAAATTGACAGATTCTCCATCTGTGAGAGGACATATATGTGCTGCAAACCGCAGCATCAGTGCTTGTAGCGCTATGGGGTGGTATATAAGTCCAAAAAAAAAAAGAAAGAATAGTTCCACTTTCCTCCTCACTACAAGCCAATGAGAATATCCACACATGTGCATGCAATTTATGTCCCACCGTGTGTACAAAATAAGATCTAGCAAATGGCTGAGATAATGCCATTGAAGTAGCTTGCTGATTGTCAAAAATAGTGTAATTTTCCTAACATCTTAATTTGTTTTTGTTTTCACCTATACAGTATTTCATATGTCTATCATTTTGTGCAAAGCTCTGATATGAATAAAGAAAGAAATGCTCACTGTAGAATCACAGATTTCCTTAATAGAATGATCAGATCCAACAGCAAAGATGACTTTTGAATCTTGAGATATTGCCACTCCACTATAGCTGCAGGACTTGAGAACACATTCAGATTCCCTTTTGCCGTTCTGGAGGTTCCATTCATACACTGCGCCATCTGTGCCACAGGAGACCAATTTGTAGTCATCCATGCTCCACACAACTGAGCGCACCTGGGGTAGGGTGGATAACAATAAGCAGAATACAGTACTGGCAATTGTTCATCAGCCATTTGAAAGGATAAGCGCTTGCTGTTATTTCCATTTACCTACTACCTCTGTATCTAAACTTTTATAAAACAGACTCACAAAACACAACTCATTCCATTCCTTGTCCTGAGCCATTAAAATAAGCATTCCCAAGAACATGAATATAACTGTTAAGACAAAAAAGAGTAGGAATAACCTCTATAAACCAAAGCCAGGATAGTGTGATCATCAAGCATACTGTTGACATGAAATGAACATTAACAGTAGTAGCTGCTGTCCTTGCAAATGCTATTTAGTCAATACCAAGGACTTTTAAACACAATTTTAATTTTAGCAGTAAACATATAAACCTATGATTAACAATAGCACTGAGACCAGTGACTTAGTAAGTCTCAGTAAATTTAATCAGTCTCACTGTCAGGAAGGTGTATACAGGATTGCAGAGTTAGAACTGCTTTTGTTTTGGCTTCTGCATGGAGTAGATAAAACAATCAGACTGCCATTTGTATAAAAAGGCTCAAACTGTATTTACACTGAAACAGCTCTAGCCAAGTCTTGGAGCTTCTTCTTTTAACTATAAGGACAAATATTTCACTTCCACTCTTAAGTTCTTATTGGTTTGTAAAGAAAATAATTCAGCCCTAGCCAAAACTCCAAACCTAATTTAAGATGTAGCTATGATATTCTTGAATTTTGAAGACTTCCTCTTTCATTTTACAATTCTACCTGTATTGTAAGTATCGCTCACTGACCTTCCCATTGTGTCCTTTCAAGTTGATTACATTATCAAAACTTATGGCAGAGTAAATGTGTATCACATTTCCATTTATTGCTGCAAACAGATGACCTCCTGTACTGAAGGCACACTGTAGAGAGATGCAAGAAGACAGTAAGGTAAAGGTTCCCCTTGACATTTAGTCCAGTTGTGTCTGACTCTACGGCGTGGTGCTCATCCCCGTCTCCAAGCCGTAGAGCCAGTGTCTGAAGACAGTTTCCGTGGTCACGTGGCCAGCGCGACTAGACCTTCCCACCGAGGTGGTACCTATTTATCTCCTCGCATTTTTACATGTTTTCGAACTGTTATCTACATAGATAATTTTTCTTCTTAAAGCATCAATTATCCAGAAATTGAAGGCCATGAAGAAAGCAGCCTTCAACTTTTCATATTTATATAACTCTCTGCAACTGGCCAGAAACAGACATTAGAGACAGCCCATTATGGGAAGGGTCTAATCCTTAACTAATATAAATGACTGAGTGTCACTATATGAGCTTCCTAGATTATACAAATTACTGTAGTTTACTTTGTTTGGTGACTGGACTTTATAACTTTAAACACAAGATTCCTTTGAAGCCTGATTTTACAAGCCAGGAAAGCTTGCCCCAGTCACCTCTCTGCAACATTAACATGATATCTGCTCTAATTATGAACGGTCTGTAACATCTGTTTCTGGTCTCAGTTGCTTGGGGCGCCACAGAGAACACTATTCCATAATTACGAGCTGAAATTCTGTTGGTTAGCTCAGTAAGTCACAACTAGAGATGGCCCACTGAATCAGTGGAATTTTTGGAGATACTGATTCGCCATATGCCCACTGATTTAATGGATCTATTCTAGTTAGGATTTACTATGTTAAGCAACATAATTTCAGCCACTGTGCTCTTCTCCCTTATGCACTGTGGAAAATGTAACATTTTCTTGGAATATGGGAAAAGTGCCCATCAAAATGCTGTATCAAAATACTAATGTAGTATTCATTTGTATGAAATTAAATCCTATGCATGCCTATTGTTATCTTGTGTCTTTTTCAATTCAAGCCTTAATTGACTTTCAGATATATATTTTAATTCTTGTCAATAAATTCTTCCTTAGTGATCAATGTTGTCTAATAGGATTTAGTTATTAAGATAAATTCTCTTAGCCTTGAGGATTTCAAATAGTGGGGCACTCAGCATTCATTATTTTAAGATATTTGCAGGTGTTAGCGCAACACAAATTAAAAAAATACACACTCAGGCATGCATCAAAAGTAAAAGAACACCTTATAAATAATGGCAAAGAGTAGCCCTCCTATCAAACCATAATGTCCTGAAGCTAACTTAGGTCTTAAACAAATCAAATGAACAAGCAGATTTAATCCAGACATGGCAGAGATCAGTGAAAAAGCAGATCAGGGAATAGGGATTCAGCATGTACTGGATGGGGATATGCTCCCCTTGAAAAGTCAGTACTGCAGCATGAGTGACCTCCTAGGTTCACCCCTGAGCCTGGATGCATGGGTTTCAGTAGTGGCCAGGACAGCATGTGTCATCTGTGCCCATTCCTTGAGAAGTCTGATTTGGCTACAGTGACACACGCCTTAGTTATGGCACACTTGGATTATTGCAATGTGCTCTACAGGGGGTTACTTTTGATGAGGCTTCAGAAATTTCAGTTTTTTAAAATGTTTCAGTCTCAAAGTCTCCAGAATGTTATCTGGAGTTTGCTGGTATATATTCAGCCTGCCCAAAGTTTTGGATATCTAAACTAGGTGCTTATTCTTGTACTTCTGACTCCTCGACCCAAAGGAATTACCCTCTAAATAATTCCAGGAGACATCTTGTTATGATAAACTCTGCTTAACTGATCTTTGTCTTCTGTCTTTAGGACTTTTGCTACACTTGAACTCCTTATAAAGCCTTGCCATCGCCCAGAAGTTTCTTTTTTCCTTTGTTGTTTTGGATCTACTTTGAATTTAAGGAATCTCTCACTTCTGCCTTTGTGTTTCAGACAAAGCAGAAAGAAAAATGTAGTCCTTTCTCCTTTCTTTTGCCCAGTTTCATTGCACTGCAATCCTGCTTTCCTTCCAGAAGTGGAAGTAATCACAACTCACACACATTCTTATTTATCTTTTTTCTTCTGGGGCCATTAGCCATTATATAGCTATCCTCTATGCCTTCCCAGTAAAGTTCTGTTTCTGGAATGTTTTGATCATGTATCCTTTGCCCCTCTAATACTTTAAATGTGCACTCTACAATTTATGCTACACAGTCAAGAGTTTATTATTTATTCAAAATGTTTTTATCCCACTTCTCTCCTTAAAAAAGCACCGTGTCTTATATAATTAAAAGCACGCATTTAAAGCTAACAACAGTGAGTATACAAGTATTAAAAATGATCAACATATATCATATTAAAAAACAGAAGGAACAACACATTCAAAGCAGTAAGTTACAACAAAGGGAGAAGCAATCCTTGAGATAGCTTGGGTCCAAGCTGTTTAGGGCTTTATAGAACTTTGAATTCTGCCTGGAATTCAAATTACTCACAATTATCTTCTGTATATCTAATATGTATTGATTTCTAAATCAGTTCTATAAGAATGTGTTATCCAGCAGAACTACGGTCACAGCAGGAAATGGCTCCTCTGCATATCTGAGCTAAATTTCCTGCAATCATTTGTTTTTGCCAGGAGGTTATTTCCTGAATACAGAAATGTAATTGGGAGACATGTGTATAAATACAGATGTTCTCAAATACAACAAAACAATCTCTTCCTCTGGCCCAAATCTCAAAATGTTCTTTCTCCTACTGCCCCATATTTTTTTCTCCTTTCAGTGGTCTCCATTTAAGCTCTTTTGTCAGTTCTCTACAAGAGGAACTCACCCCCCTGCATCCTCGTACAGTGAAGTCTTTGAAAGCCCGGATATCATCAATAAGCAGATTCATAAGTCGGAGTTTGTCTGCAAAACCAACCAAAACATAGAGGCCACTTGGATGGAGTGCAAGTGCATATGCCTCTTCTTGGTATTCTTTGTATAGATCCAGCGAGCTGCAGTGAGAACAGCCATGTCAATCAATGCACTTCATAACCTCCTCTTCGACAAGTGCTGGGGGAATAAAATGCTGGGAAATGGACCTCAGTGGGAAACTAGGCAGTGTCTGTTCATTTCCATGTGTACAGGCAGGGAATGAATGTTATTTGGTCATATTTCATACAAGAAATAGTTGAAGTGACTGCAAAGTCTACACTATCAGGCAATCAAATTCAATGAATATTAGCATTACTTCTCCTTCCCTGTAGCATTCATCAATTACTCACTGAAACTTACTTCTGATAGTATAAGTGATGGGGTAACCTTATTCGTTTGTGGCAGCAAAATCTTTTTAATTGGAACTGATAGAGCAGGCTGCACTCTATGAAAGTTCATGCAAAATAAGCTTTGATAGCCTTTATGGAACCACAAGACTTTTTATATTTCTCCTTTTTTCCTCAGAATTTTTTTAAAATTTTTGCATTGATACTTAGCTGGTTGCTTCACTTGAAAGGCTGCCAAAATAATTTCTAATTTGATAGAGTGTATTTTAACAAAGAGGTGTTTGACACATAAAGTTGCCAAACTTCTATTATTTTAAAGCTTGCTTTCCAATTCAAATGCTTGAAGGCACACATCAGTATTCCGTAGGCTGCCACCATTACCTTTCCATATGCCACTTGCATGCCAACCTTATATATCTCTTGGAAGGTGCAGGTTCATTGAAAATCATTTGGTAAGCAAGCAGATTATTAATGCATACTTACTTGGTTTCATAGTTCCAGATGCGGACGGATTTGTCCAATGAACAGGTAGCAACAAGTGGCTTGCGAATACAGGTATCCAAGCCAGTAATGGAAGAAGAATGTATTGGATGATTCAAGTATTCAAAGTGAGCTGTCTCTCCCTAATGAGATATAATTGTATTATTCAGAAACGCTCATGTGACAGCTGAATACGAGGCAAAACTGGACTTTTCCTAGAGCAAAGGAACCAGGATGGAACAGTCTTTTTCTTGCAGAACTCACACAGAACTAGATATAAACGGCAGACCTGTGTAGGTTGCAGTTGTGAAAGCAGAAGGCATATCCAGTATGAAGTTCCACAGGAAAGTTCTACAGCTATTTGCACAATCAGTTGCACAACCAATTATGCTATGGGCATACAATGTGAAATTCCTGGGAATTTCTCTTTGCAAACCTCTGCAGGTACAACTTTACTCTAAGCTAAGTGCAACAGGATTTCAGCCAGTATGGTACTCTCATCTGAAAGTTTACTTTCAAAATCCCAAGCTTTGACCCATAGTTTAAAGCAACACAACAGAATAGCAAAACGCGTCCCAAGGAGACCTACTATTTTTGCCCCTGGCCATATTGGCAGACTGGTGAGGTGTTTTCCCTTTCATTGCAGGGATACAAAATGTATTTGAACACAATGGCTGAAATCCTGTTGTGCTGCTAGGTAAAAGGCACAGCTCTTGGATTCAAATTGCCCCAGGTTAAGAAATCTGCACAGGCATTGGCTGAAATCCAGTAGTAAGTCATAACCAGAGTTCTTATGTGCCGTGAAGTTGCTTCCAACTTATGGCGAATCTATGAGTGAGTGATCTCCAAAATGTCTTGTCCTCAACAGCCCTGCTCAGATCTTCTAGACTCAAGCCTACAGCTTCCTTAAAGAGTCAGTCTCTCTCATATTTGCTCTTCTTCTTTTCCTGCTGCCTTACACCTTTCCAAGCATTATTGTCTTTTCCAGAGAATCTTGCCTTCTCATGGTGCTCCTAAAGTAGGACAGCCTCACTTTCAACATTTTTGTCTCCAGAGATAGTTTTGACATTATTCAATCTAGGACTGATTCATTTGTCTTTCTTCTTTCTGGCACTCCAGGGAATCTGCAAAGCTCTCCTCAAGTACCACATTTCAAACAAATCAATTTTTTTTTCTGTCAGCCTTCTTTATTGTCCAGCTTTCACATCCCGACATGGAGATTGGAAATACAAGAGCATGGACGATCTTATCTCAGTCTCCAGTGACACATCTTTATCCTTGATGTTCTTTTCTAATTCCTTCATCAATCGATTGAACTTACATAGGTTCTGATTCACTAAATCCCCACTGATTCAATGGGCCTACTCTAGTTGTGACTTACTACTGGATTTCAACCATAATCTGTTCCATGTCGAGTGGCGCACCTCAGAATGCAACAGATAATGTCTATGGAGATTTCTTATCTTGAAGCAATTTGTCTCCCAAAGTCACACCTTTTGCATAGCAGCACAAAGGGATTTCAGCCATGATAAACAAGACCCCCCTCTCATTGCTCAGAACACAATGGTAAGAACAAACTCACTTTGGTTATCTCAGCTGATGACATGGAGAGGAAATAGACCTGATTTTTATTTGTGCTAATGAGGAGAGTTTCCTCTGCAGGGCTGAAGGCAATACATACAACTTCCTGCTTGTCTGACTGATTTGGATCATTGCTGCACTCATCTTGTGGAATCTATGAAATAAACCAGATCAGTTACGTTATTTGTCCACAGACACTTTTTAAATTCAGTTCTATTGCAAAATAAGGATAAATAACTTTCCATACACAGTGGCAGTGAGATCATTTTAATTAACATTATGCTCAAACATTGCCAGCTGAAACGCTTCTTAATCTGTTGTTTGTGCGCTGAGCTGGCTAACCTGCAACCTCCTACATATTGTACTTGTACAGCTCATAGGCTAGAATTTCTCATGCAATCCACTTGGGCCTGTGGACTGGATGTTGTGGAATAACAAATGACCTTGGCATGTCTATTTTCTGTTTCCTGTTGTAGATGAAAGCTTGGAAACCAGCTTTAAGAAGCAAACTGTGCATTCTAATTCTGTTCGCTTCCTCACATCCTGCTTTTGACTCCAATGCAAATGTTGTTGGCCAAGCATGCAAAAATGAGTTAGGCTTTAATCGTGTAAATCCACCAACCAAGGATGAACCTGTATCTCATGTTTCCTGGTTTTGCAGGGCTTTGTGCATGCTTCAAAAATAAAGGAAGGAGGACTCAGCCACTTGTGTAATTTTGCAGGACTCTACTCTTAAACAAGGACTTAGATTGTGAATGATTTTAAAACTCATTTTTGCTACTTAAACATGTGTTCTTTCTTTACAATATTGTAGTGTTATGTAACCTTTGGCGTCTTTATATAAAAAGTTTGGCCTTACCTTCTGTCCTGCCCTTCTCCCCTAGAACCACACTTCAGATGAGCTGTACACAAATACTGTATAAACATTTTGAAACATGTAAAACACTCAACATGGGTGAGGGTAGATAGCTTTCTGATTTTAACAGCATTTGCCAATTCATGTTGTGCATAGCTGGCTTTTGCTGGAAGCAATCATAATTTTCTTAACTTAGCAAACAGTTTTTACCACTACCATTATCATCATATCTGCACGATGATAATGGGGATTGTGGCAGTGGGGGAGACAGGACAGGAAAAACTTTACATACATGGCTTAAATACCTAACAGAGGAAATACAGTATGTAAGAAATCCAGAAATTTCCGCATCCTCTTTTGGAATCCCAAATCTTAACGATTTCAGACACTCTCAATCAGGAATCCACAAAAGACCGTGAAAATGAAAGAATGAGCCTCTTTCATGGGATTTTCATTTGAGTTTACCTGCAGATTCCACCCCTATCATCTACTGCTTGATACAGAGAGGGATGCTGCTATGCCACACATATGAAAGTGATAATCACCTTTGTTGGATGCTGCACTCTCATGTATGAGACAGTGAGCACTGCACATCTCAGAACTATACTTACCCGTATCTCTCGGCTTTCTCTGTAAACTTCTTTGTCATCTGACTTCTCAAACAGCAGAACAATCCCTGGACCAGCTGCACAAGCAAATCCCTTAGAATATGCAGCAATAGCAGAGACACGGGGCAGAGATTTCTGCTGCTGTGCTTCTGTTTCACAGACTTTTTCACTAGAGTACTCAGGAGAAGAGGTGGGAGGAAACTGAACAAGGCTGTTAAAAGAAATATGTCAATCAGCAGCAAAGAGAGAAGCCAGGTAAGATTTAAAAAATCACATATCATTGAAAAATTATTTTTGATTATTTCACACTTGCTTAACATAAAACTCTACCTGTTTATGATTTTAAAGTTATAATTTTGTAGACTCATATGAGGACATAAATCCAGGGGGCACTTTTTTCTCGGTAAACATGCTTTACATAGTAAGCTCAGAATATTTTTTTAAGATTTCAATTTCACTGCTGAAATTCTGTTACTTGGTGTAACCACAACTAGAGCAAACCCATTGACTCAGTGGGGTCAACTCCTCCATAAGTTACAAAGATTCAAATGGGCCTACTCTAGTTGCCACCCACTGTGCTAAGCAATGCAATCTCAGCTACCATCTATTGAATTATACCAAAATGCACTGTGTATATACCCCTCAAAGCATTTAAAGCACTCTCTGGGTGGTTAACAATTTAATTATGCAGGCTACATAGAATCAGTTTGAAGACTGTCTTCACCTTTCTTTTGAATCTTGTGGTTGTTCCTCTTTCATTGCTTCACTACTTGGCTCTCTGTGCTCAATACTTGTTTCCCAGCGAAGATCACCAGAGTCAAATAAATAGAGCTTGCCTGTGTCAGTGCCTACGATCACCTTCTCTTCAGAGAGCCAGGCATGGGAGAGGTAGTTCTGTGGCTCTCCCCGTAAAAAGTTGGTCTGCTTTAAGGTTCCCTCTGTATATCTAAAGAGTTTAAAAATCCCATTTCCTGTAACACACACTTGAGTGTTATCCTGTGGATTGAAGCTCACCTGTAAGAAAAACACCACTAAATAAGAGATTACTTAGCAAGTATGATAATTGGCAAATTGATAATCAGGTGATATTTATAATCTAAGACCGAAAGCCATCACAACATTACAATGCAAATATAAAGCTAAAAGAAATAAGGAGACATAATAGTAAATTTTTGAAACAGAATAATCTTTGAAATTGGTTGTAGTACTGTATCTTGTCATGGGAATAGTATCCATAACAAGATACTACAAACAATTTCAGATCATAACTTTGACTTCCCCCTGTGACAAACCCAGACCTACTGGGATCTGTCACACAGTTACACTAAGCTGCCACCAACCATTCCCTTTAAGAAGTCACACAGACCAGGGATGGATTTTTAAACAATAAAAGAATAAGGTTTATTTAAATACACACAGGGAAAAATAAAACAATCAGGTGAATAAACTATAGTAACGTGGCTTAGTTTCACTCATACATACACACAGTTTGGTTCACCCAGAACCCTTAACTTGAAGCACAGACCCTGAACCTATCAGTTCTGGCTAACCAACAGACACCTGAACCTATCAGGTTCGTACTCTGACACACAGTAGTACCCTGTCTGACACACAGACTCCCACAACAGCTTCTTCTTCCCAGCTGCTGCTTCGTCACAACCCAGTGTCTCTCAGTATCTCCTCAACTCTTCACACACTCCACATATATATACAGTACAGCCCCTCCTCCTGATGTCCCGCCTGTACTGTATCTTGTCATGGGAATAGTATCCATAACAAGATACTACAAACAATTTCAGATCATAACTTTGACTTTTTCCCCCTACAACTACAGTGAATGGCAGTGTATTAATTATACATCAGTGCTGTATGTAACACCCCCCCCCTACAGCTACAGTGACTAATCCCACTTCATAATGGCAGTGTATTAATTACTGGTTGATTACCTAAGGTTTGGACACAGGGGAAAAACTGACAAAGATCTTTCTCTGGAGAAAGAGTACAAAGGGCAACATATTGTAGTGTACAGTAATAATACAGTAAGCTACATTTAGCTTTAGCCACTTCAACCGTTTATAGTTTAAAGCAGGGGTCTTCCAAGACTTGCAACTTGAAATTCCTTTTGATTTGAGATGTTGGGGATTGAATCTCAGATTTCATAAATCTAATGTGTCTGTTGTTGAGGTAAGTTACTTCCTTCTACAGATAAAGACAGATTCAGAAAAATAAGTTATCAGTTGTGTTGCGAGGCATTGCAATTCTGAGACCTTATTCATTCTTGCATTTTTCTATGTCTCACTGGTATAAAAACATATTATAGAACGTGAACTGTATATCGCAACAAGACCATTTCTTGGCAAGCTCTCTTGTTCTGATCTCCAAATGCAGAGTTAGAAGGATTTGGGGCAATGATGAATTATGATAATAACTAAGACTTAATATCAGAGTATGTGGTCAAAAAGAAGTGCCTGTCCCAGTGTACTGATGCTTTTCTCCCAACTTACCTGATAGAGAGGATTGTTCTGAACATCAACCTTAATAATGGCCATTGTTCTTTGCTTTTCCCACATCCAGTAGGCAAGATTTGACTCAGGAGGTCCTGTTTGTGCCACAAGATATTTGGAATCTGGGGAAAACCCCATGCTGATAAATTCCTGGACAGGAAAATCAAAGGTGTTCAAGATCTTTCGTTTCTTGCATGGTACAGATGACAGTTCATAGACTGTGATAGTAGGTTTATCCTGCAGTGTCTCTGAAATGGCCAGATAGCGTCGATTTGGACTAATTGCTAGTGCAAGCATGCCTTGGCTTTTCTCTGAACCTATGGAGCACATATACAAATCTTCTGTGAGTTTAACATTACAGTATAACATTAGGTTTTCATCATATGGAAACAACAACAGTAAATTACACAATGCTTGCTCATGTAATCTTCCTTTAATTTTCAAATGCTCTGAAATAAAATCTTCAAAAATAACTATGAGATAATGCAATTAGCATATAAGTTAAATAAACAAATAAACACCTATAAAAGTAATCACCCAGAAAACCCACATCACAAAGCATTGCCAGACCATGCTCATGCAGTGCTCAGTAACTATGTTCATTACTTTTTCCACAAAAGTTTAAAACAATGCACAGGCTGTTAGGAGACTGATAATTAGTTAGTTCCTGGCCCACTTGCAAATCACTGCACTATGTATCAGTTACTATGTTCACTTGTGACATCAAAGTGTGGCCTTCCACAAGAGTAAAAAACTTTTGAGCAGATGTTTTAGCCAGAACTCTCATTAATTCCACTCAGTGCGGCTAATTGTAAGGAACTGTGCAGCGGCAGTCAAAAACAGCCGTACTACCTCTGACCTAGCATTGTATAAATAAGCCCTGGTGAGCCTCAGCCTCACAATCTCTCTTTTCTGTTACAGTCAGGATCAGAACAAATAAACCAAAACATCTTGCCTCCTGCTTTAATGACCCATATTTTAATGAAGTGTGGCCTTCCACAAGAGTAAAAAACTGCTGTTTTAATGAACCATAGTTTAATATTATGTTTTACTCCATAGTTAGTTTATCTACAGTTTGCTGAAGAGCCATTCTGTTTAGTCTGGGCCAATGTGAATAGGTGCAATTTGGAAACAATTTGAGTAAGGAAAAAACTGTTTAACTATGCTTAAAATATTTACATTTCACCTCAATCTGGTAAGAGCAACATATGAGGCAAAGAGGCCAGTTTGACTATGAATATCAAAAATCTTTGCAAACACTAAGATTTTGAAAGCATCATAGCACATACTAACTTGTACTGTGTTCAATATGTTATGTGGGCTTTGAATCCAAATCTGTACATTCTCTCAGCTGCTTCCAAAACTGAATTTACAAATCTAAGCAATGTATTGGACATATTTTATGTTTTGACATTTTGCACACATTTTAGCTTATTTTCTGCATTCCAAGAACTAACATTCATAAGACTGACTATAACCACAGGGTGCCCTTTCAGATTTTGGGTAGTGGTGGAAGCACTTCGGTGGGGATCTGCACTCTCCCCCCTTTTTTTCTTAAACAGTACTCTTGTAAATTAGGCAAGTGGGAGAAGGCTGATTTACCTGGAATGAATTTCTGCCATTTCTGCTCTATATGGTATTTCACACAGTTATTCCCCGCGGGATATACTATTATCTGCTCATCAAAGAAGCAAATATTGTTCGCTACTCGCGATTGGAACCCAAAAATGTGGAGAGCTTGTGCCACAATCACCGACATGGCACAAGCAAACTTTGCTGGAAAGCGGGAGATGCAAACGGCAGAAAGCAATGAGTTGAATGGTCTCACTCCAGGGACAGGTGCCCTTTTTTTCCTTAGCCCCCTCCCCGGGAAGCGGCTCGGCCGCAAATGTCTGCGGGTGAAATTCTTCTCTCTCTTTGCTTGCCGCTCCCGATCCCGTCTTCTGTTAGCTACCCAAAAGTCTGCCCTCCAAGTCTCGGGCTCGCTGGTTCAATGGTCTCCCTGAACAACAACAAAACTGAATTGGTTGTCATGGAGACGGCATTCCGGATGTATAGCCGAAAAGGCCGAACGGAACCGGAAACACCAGAGAGAAACATCCCGGAACCCGGAAGTAGTGGCGTGCCGTTCCTCGTGGTTTAGGATGGTGGCTGGGTAACACCTGAGGTACGTAAAGCGGGACTTGGGGGGATTTACCAGTGCTGTGCAGATCTGCCGGAGGTAATAGTAGGATTTACTTTTAAATGACCGTATAGACATTTATCTAGCACGAGCCTGTTCTGAGGGAACACGGAAACTTCATGTAGGGCTTAATGTAAAGTTAGAAGTGATTTTGCAGAGTGGCTGAAATTCAGCTGGTGAAACTTTCTTAGAATTGAGGGGAAATATTTCATGTACTGAATATTTGTGCTGGTTGCTACGTTGTTAACGATGAAGGAACTCTGTCGGCTGTGCGCGCGGGAAACTCGCGGTCTTGCTCCCGTTTCATTCCACGTTCTTGAAAATGGCATGTTTGTGTGACTTTTCTGGTTCGTCCTACAGTTTGCTGGATGTGAAGGCCCGTGATACTAAGACACAAGGCACGATGTCTCGCGTAGAAATGGAGGACGATTTGTCACTATCGTCAGATTCTGATGAATCTGTTATCGCCGACCGTGAGGTCAGTTTCTCTCTAAATAACAGTACGAACAGGTTGAGTTTTCCCTCCAGGATTCTGGTGGTATATGAAGTTAGATATGAGAAGACCTAAAAGAATAAGTGCTGAATTCCACTTCAGTTTGTGTGATTATTAATAGTACTGTTAAGCTTTGCTTCTGGTTGTGGAGCAAGCAGTAATGACTGCTCATAGGATTTACAGTTGTACAAGGCTGTTTATTGCTGCAATGTAGTAGGAGTTACATATTGTATATACATGGTAGAGAAATTTCATCTTAACATATTTAAAGTACTTTCCTTTTTTCAAATGTCTTATGTAATTTCAGTAATACAAAAAACCAACCCAGTAAGCATAGTTGTTTTTATACTGCAGCTGAGGGTCTGAGCCTAAAAGAACAGCAACTTTTTAAAGGTGACACAATGCAGTGGTTTTCAACCTTTGATCCTCCATATATTTTGGATGTTGAGATTCAGTTTACACTACAGTGGTGCCTTGACTTACAAACACCCAAACTTACAATTATTTCGAGTTATGACCAGCTCCGGAGCTGCAAACTTTTGCTTTGATTTGCGGCCAGAGCTTCCAGTTATGAACAGAAAAAGGCAGGAAATTCAAATTGCTAACTGTTGGTGGCGAAGAGGTTGCTTCTTTGTAGCTCTTTCACCCCACAGTTAGAGTGAGGGCAATCGGCAGAGGCTGCCTGGTAAGGTAAGGTGCTGTATTCTGCTTTTTAAAAACTGTTCTGGGTGGGTTTTGCAGCGTGGTTTTGGATTGGGGGGTTATGTTTCTGTGCTGTGATGGGTCTTGTGGGGTTTCCTTGCTTTTTGGAGTCCCCCCCCCATTTCCGATGGGTCTTGGGGAGTTTGCTTTTTAGTTTTTTTTCCCCCCATTTCCGAATTTCCAATCTTGCATCATCTGCTTGATTGCTTTTTGCTTTCTTTTGTTTGCATTTGCAATGGGTCCTGCACGGTTGATTGGTTTTTGTTTTGTTCTCCTTGCATTAGGTCTTCCACACTTGATTGCTTTTTGCTTTCTTTGCATTTGCAATGGGTCTTGCATGCTTGATTGTTTTTCTCTTGCCCCCCCCTTCGGCCAGAAGAGATTAATCACGTTTCTGATGAGTCTTGCAGAGATTTTTTAAACTTGGTTATTTTTTTCTTCAGCGGTAATGGATTAATTGCATTTCAATGCTTCAATTTATGACCATTTTGAGTTACGACCATCTTCCAGAACGGATTAAGTTTGTAACTCGAGGCACCACTGTATTAGTTATATTGTAACATCCCACAGTGACTCTGTACAGTGCCTGAATGTGCTAAAGCAGAGTCAGAAAGGTGCATTTTGAGACCCTGCAATTTGTGCACCATTGTTTATACCCAGGGTGAGGATAATGTTGCCCTTCAGATTCTGTTCAAATGGAATTTTTCTGTCCCAGCTAGTGTCACAATACAGAAATGTGATGGGAGATGCGGTCTGCAATTTGTGCACCATTGTTTATACCCAGGGTGAGGATAATGTTGCCCTTCAGATTCTGTTCAAATGGAATTTTTCTGTCCCAGCTAATGTCACAATACAGAAATGTGATGGGAGTTGCAGTCCAATAATATTTGGAGAATCACAGGCACTTCATCTCTGGTTTAAACTTTTCTTCCCTGTTGTTTTCATCTGATGTTTTGTTTGTTCATTGTTTATTCTGTTATTACCAAGGGGACAGGTGAACTAATATTAATAATTGCCTGTGTCAATAACACTCCAGAGATTGAATGTATCATCTTTCCTAATACAGCTCCAGGAGGCATTTTCGAAAGGTTCTATAAAGCCAGGCTTAAATGTTGTGTTGGAGGGGCGACCAAAACCTTTCAACAATGTGGTGAGTGCTATATGGTTGTGACCATCCTGAAATAAGCTTATGTTGGATTCTTAGTATTCAGCCAGAATAAAGTTATGAGAAATAATTCAATCATTTTGTACAATGAATTGGAACTGGGGGCAAGTAAAAACATTACTGTTAACTTGTCTAATGTGTCAAAGCTAAAGTGAAATATTCTGTTGAATATTCATGCATTATATATTATTCTCTTCAAATTTGAGGGAAGTAGCCTGTATCTATTTTTATTGTGATTGCTGAAACAAAGATAACTTTCTATTATTCCTATGCAAAGTGTTGAATAAGAAGAGCTTGCAGTTTTGGAAACAAGGGCAGACAAAGCCTGCAAGTACATAGCAGACAAAGCCTGCTAGATATCTAAAGAGAATTTGCTGGATGGGATGGGAACATTACTGCAAGATCTAATTGATGGCAGTATGGTGGAATATAGGAAATTTTCAGACCTGGAATGCCATTTTTGGTCATGTAGGCTTCTCCAACAAGGTGCCTACAGATGTGTAGAACTACAGCTCTGGATGTCTGACTGGGGTTGAGGGCCTTGATTGCAGAAATATATCCTAATCAGTGAAGATTATTTGTGTTGTATTTGAGCTAAATTAATATACTCGTTCCTAGGATGGATTGAAGCAGTGCTTATCCGAATTCCAACAACACTTGGCCTGGGTTGAAAGGCTAGATATTACTTCTCCATTGACAAATACTACACATACAACTTCTAATCAGACTCTTGACAAAGATGCTATAGACCCTGAGGATGACTTCAAGAGAGAGATGAGCTTGTAAGTTTGTATTTATGAGGTATAAATTCTCTGTGTATTTGGGAACCTGGAGTCTTTCACTTCCTTCATCCATGCAGAAGAAATGTCATCTCATGCTTGCTACATATTTTTGTGTTGATACTGTTAGCACTTTAATTGCCATTGCATAAATGAAGCAACTTAGTAGAAGACTGATTTTATCAGTATTGTTGCAGTTGCTTTGCAAATGCATACCTAATAGAATGGGATGTTTTTGCACCTTTTAAAAAATTTACTAGATGAGCAGTCTAGTCATTTGTTTAGAAGCAGAATCTGTCCCTCTTATAGAACAGAAATATATCATATTTTGCTGTCAACCAGATGGAAATATTTTCATATGTTGACCTTTTGTTTCCTTAGTTACCGTCAGGCCCAGGCATCCGTTCTAGAAGCCTTGCCTCGGTTACATCAGCTCAAAATCCTTACCAGGCGGCCTGATGACTATTTTGCAGAAATGGCAAAATCTGATCAGCAAATGCAGAAGGTAAGATTTATGGCTTCTCAGTTTTTCCATATACTTGCTAATAATAGTAGCAGTAGTAGTAGATGTTCCCCACTTATTAGTGTCCTAATTGATGTCTCGGCTTTCATTGCATTGTGAACAACTTTTTAAATACTCCTTTGGCCACATATTCAAATGAATCTGTTATTGCTTTGTCTGTCTTCCATAAAAGATTTGAAAACACAGGACTGTCCCTTATTCTGAAAGGTTATTCCAAAATCTGCAAACTGTAATAACTACCACATTGTGGTTCTAGTATTTTTGAAAGGTCCAACTGGAATGCTGTTGCAGAAGTTTAATATGTATTATGTTCCAAAATCTGCAAACTGTAATAACTACCATATTGTGGTTCTAGTATTTTTAAAAGGTCCAATTGGAATGCTGTTGCAGAAGTTAAATATGTATTATGTCATGGCTAACAACAAGACCAGTGGAGGTGATGGCATTCAAGTATTTAAAACCTTAAAAGATGACGCTGTTAAGGTGCTACACTCAATATACCAGCAAGTTTGGAAAACTCAGCAGTGGCCAGAGGATTAGAAAAGATCAGTCTACATCCCAATCGCAGTGCCAAAGAATGCTCCAACTACCGTACAATTGCACTCATTTCACACACTAGCAAGGTTATGCTCAAAATCCTCCAAGGTAGGCTTCAGCAGTATGTGGACTGAGAACTCCCAGAAGTACAAGCTGGATTTCGAAGGGGCAGAGGAAGTTGAGATTAAATTGCTAACATGTGCTGGATTATGGAGAAAGCCAGAGAGTTCCTGAAAAACATCTACTGGCAAGTTCTTAAAGAAATGGGAGTGCCTGACCTTATCTATCTCCTTAGAAATCTATATGTGGGACAGGAAGCAACAGTTAGAACTGGATATGGAACAACTGATTGGTTCTAAATTGGGAAAGGACAAGGCTGTATATTGTCACCCTGCTTATTTAACTTATATGCAGAATACATCATGCAAAAGTCCGGACTGGAAGAATCCCAAACTGGAATTAAGATTGTTGAAGAAATATCAACAACCTCAGATATGCAGATGATACCACTCTGGTGGCAGAAAGTGAGGAGGAATTAAAGAACCTCTTAATGAGGATGAAAGAGGAGAGTGCAAAAATGGTCTGAAGCTCAATGTCAAAATAACTAAGATCATGGCCACTGGTCCCATCACCTCCTGGGAAATAGAAGGGGAAGATATGGAGGCAGTGACAGATTTTACTTTCTTGGGCTCCATGATCACTGCATATGGTGACAGCAGCCACAAAATTAAAAGACGCCTGCTTCTTGGGAGGAAAACGATGACAAACCTAGACAGCATCTTAAAAAGCAGAGACATCACCTTGCTGACAAAGGTCCGCATAGTCAAAGCTATGGTTTTTCCAGTAGTGATGTATGGAAGTGAGAGCTGGACCATAAAGAAGGCTGGCCGCCGAAGAATTGATGCTTTTGAACTGTGGTGCTAGAGGAGACTCTTGAGAGTCCCTTCGACTGCAAAGAGAATAAAGCTATCTATTTTGAAGGAAATCAACCCTGAGTGCTCACTGGAAAGACGGATCCTGAAGCTGAGGTTCCAATACTTTGACCATCTCATGAGAAGAGAAGACTCCCTAGAAAAGACCCTTATGGGAAAGATTGAGGGCAAGAGAAGGGGACGACAGAGGACGAGATGTTTGGACAGTGTCATCGTAGCTACCAATATGAATTTGACACAACTCCGGGAGGCAGTGGAAGACGGTAGGGCCTGGCATGCTCTGGTCCATGGGATCACGAAGAGTAGAACACAACTTAACGACTAAATAACAAAATGTCACAATTATGAGTTTTTGGTTTTTTATTTTTGTAAGCTATATAAAGAGTCTGTCTTCTGGTTTTCACAAATCAATGGCTATATTTATTAGTTTGGATGTCGCTGACAGATGCTGTCATGGCGTCTGATAGCTGTATTGCATTTAAATTATAATAGTTTCTAAGGTACCCTTGCTTACACACATTCCATGTAAGGGATTATTTATCAAATACTAGTTTTGTTGCTTTCATCCATCAGAACTTTTCCACTGTTGGGATTGTTTTCATAGCAGCTCATTGCTTTGTGCTATTTTGTATGGTGTTTTTCAGTCTTCTCATTAAATAATAACACCTCTTTCCATAGCATTTAGTAATATTAAATTATCCTTTAATTCTCCCATGGGAATTATCCTTTAATTCTCTCATGAGAACATAAAAGTGTTCTTTCTCCCATGTGATAGCTATGACAGTATAAAATAAATCTCTAGCTGCCATATGGTCTTAATTAATAGCTTGATACTGCATTTCTCTCTGATCATCATGTGTTTAAAAATAATGGTATAGGTTGTAAACCCCTGACAACCATTTCTTATCTCACTTGATCCTGTTCGAGAAGAAGAGCTCAGGTAATCCTAAAGAGCTATAGTAATGGTGAAACTTCATTTTTAGGAAAACAAAACTGTCAAAATAGGCTTGGTTTTAGTTTTGAATAATTTTGTTATGAATGAACAGAATTTCATAATAATCTGCTTTCATTTGCATCAGAGCATATTAATTTCTCTGTTTTAATTAGATCCGGCAAAAGCTGAAGAGTAAGCAGGAGGCAATGGAGAAATCTGAAAGGGCCAAACAACTCCGTGCTCTCAGGAAGTACGGCAAAAAGGTAAGGACATTTGTTCCAAGGGCAGATATTTCATCAAATTGTTGGGAGCCCTACATGGCAGTTTTTGAATTTGAATTCATGACATGCAGCATGTGACAGTATTTCTCTGCATGTAAGGTATACAGAAGGGATTTTTTTAAAAAAAGACTGGAATATAGAGAAGAGAGGCCCACATTTCATTTATCATTGACAGGTGCAAATTGAGGTGCTTCAGAAGAGGCAGAAAGAGAAGTCCACAATGTTGAATGCCATCAAGAAGTATCAGAAAGGTAAGATGTTCTCTATTTCCCTCCATGCACACACTTCATGCATCTTATCAGATGAACAGGAATCAATGTGTAATATGAGATGCAGAAGCTCATGTTTGTGGGTAAATAGGTATCACTGCTGTATGGTAGAGGTGGGATAAACAGTCATGCTAAGTTTGAGATAAATAATCTGTTGATGTTGACCCTCAGTTTTAAGCTCAGAGCTGCCATAGACTGAAGGGGAAAGCACACACCTATTTCTGTTGCAGTTTCACATCTCTAAATGGAGGGGAGACTCATGCAAATCTCAAACTACAGCTTTGCTAATCAGGGGGGGATACATTAGTGATTTATTTTGTTTTTTATCCCACTGATCCAGTTCCATCTCTGGGCAGACACTGTTCTATGTTTGTGTGTGTCACCCTATTTAAAAGCAGATCTGTATAGCTATGCATGTTCTGGGGGATAGACCAGTCTTCATACAGCCACCTCTTTTGGATTTTTCCTCAATTTAATGGTTGTTTTCCCTTTTATGCAGGTCTCTCAGACAAGCTGGAATTCTTAGAGGGGGATAAATCATCAGCTCCTCTGGGAAAGAAAAAAGAGGGCAGTGGAAGCCAACCAGTCAAGAAAGGGTAAGACTTAGGAAGTGGGGGAATTTCCAGCAAGGTTTTTATTTGTTTTGCTTTGTAATGAAGAGGCCTCCTATTGATCACTTTCTGTTTTGTTTACAGTTTGGTATTTCAGCTTTTGATCTATCTGAAAGTATTTTCTTTAATTTTATTGTGCATCCTGCTTAACAATGGGATGGGGAATAGTAATATCTCACAGTATATTTTAGGTAACATCTTTTCAATTTGAACCTTAGAAGTTCAGTTTCTGGTTCTGATTTTTGTTAAGTTTCCAGTTCTCACATTGTTTTGAAAATGTAAGGACTGTATGTTCCAGTGTCATAGTAACGTGTGGCACAAAGGATTTTCATTATTAAAATCATTACATTTGAAAGAAACTTTATCATGATTCTGAACATTTAGGACTAGCACTACCTGGGGTAAGATGTGTCTTGTTACACCAACCTGCTTAATATATAGTGTCTTAGTATTCTCACATTTCTGCACCCAGAAGGAACAAATAAACTGCTAGCTTCTAGTATTTCCAGCATGGCCCAGAATGAGTAGCCACTGCTTTTATAAATTTGGAAGACGGGAAACTCTGTTATACATGTAAGATTAGGCAGATTTTGAAATACTTTCATTTGTTAGGTAGAAAAGCATTGAGGTGCAGGTCACATACAGAAATACCTAAGGAGAGGTGAACAAGTATCCATCATGCCTGACTAATGGTTTTTCTTTCAGACCAAATGCAAAACGGCGCTACAAGAATCAGAAATTTGGCTTTGGTGGGAAAAAGAAAGGGTCAAAATGGAATACCCGGGAAAGTCATGATGATGTGTCCAGCTTCCGTGCTAGTAAAGCCCATTACAAGGGTCCTGGAAAAGGAGGAAAAAAGGGTGCCAATGTGAGTACCTGCCATGAACAGAAATGAGGGAATTCGCCCTTGCTAAGGTGGCTGTGTTGTAGCTAATTAAGTGGTTGGTCATAAAACTTTGTTGCTGGAATGTCATACAAGGTACATTGAGGGCAGATCACCTTGGAAGCCCATACTTGCTGCCTTGAGTTTTCTAATGGAAGAAAGTGGGATATAGAGACTACAAATAATAAGTATGAATGAGCATTGAAAATTTCTTGCTTGGGGAGCATTCATTCCAGTACACATATTGTTACTCTCAATTTCTTATGTAGAATACGATGATGGTAGTAAGATGATAAACAATTATGTATTTGTCTTTATTTCTCTTTCCAGAAGAGGCCTGGCAAAAAGATGAGGCAGAAAATGAAGAATCGTTCACGATAAGGAGTGAAATGAATGGGCGTTTTTTCTTTTGTGGGATTAGAAGTCATCCAGAATGTCAGCATATGGCTATGAACTGGTGCCACTTTTTAACTTGCTGGCCAATCAATGTGCTATAGAAGCAGCATCTCATTCTACCAGACACTGGGTACACCAGTGTTTCTATAGAAAACAGTAACTACATGTGTCTTGCTGCCTCATTTTCATACTGATTTGGGTTTTTGAGTCTCCCTTGTTTGATAATAGCAATTAAATTACATTTTTGTGTACACTTTTAATTGCTTCGTCTATACTCTTATATTGGAAGAGATCCATTCTGGTTTGCTTCTGAAGGATTTTGGAGTCCTATAATTCTCTGACTAACCGACAGAGCAGCACTATACCTGCACCTGAAATAGCAGCTCTTACATTTCAGCCACTCTATGACATCCTTTAGGTCAGTGGTTCTTAACCTTGGGTAATCCAGGTGTTCTTGGACTGCAATTCCCAGAAGACTTCACCACCACCAATGCTGGTTGGGGCTTCTGGGATTTGCAGTCCAAGAACAACTGGGTATGAAGGAGGAGAGAACATAAGTGTGTCGTCCTTAGCTGTGGAGGACATAGGAAAAGAAGAAGAGACATATAAAGGGGAACCTCAGACAAATGAAGTGACAGTTAAAGGAAAGGCAGGAGAATAATAATCAGATGAAAGACCGGGGAAAACAGAGGTTTGTTTGACGGAGAAATTGATAGAGGGAGAGTGGGCGGAGCAAGAAGTGTCTTGCTGGGAGGAGGATATAAATGAGGAGGGAGTGAGATGGTTTAGTAGTGTAGTGGCAGATTCTGAGAGAAAAAGACAAGAGGAACGCAAGGAGGTGTTTGAGAGAATCCAAACACAGAGCCTTGTGAGAGACTTTCCAAACCTCCAGGTGTTATGACTTTTTGCCAGACCCAGAGACAGAGAAAGAGAGACCAGCCCATTACGTGACCAGAGAATGGGCAGTGATCGTTGCACCCCGCGAATTAGAGCTACAGCATGAGTCGGAGGTCTCGCATAATCCGTTCCACGACAAACCTGATGAGAGAGGGTGGGTGCGGCACCCATGCTGTGGGACAATTTGTGCACTGCGGAGCACCCCTCTCCAGAGACCAAAACATCAGGAATGGTGTGGGGGGTCCCGCCGCTGAGTCCTTGGGGCTATGAGAAAAGTTTTGTTTCTGATAGTTGTGGCTTGTTGCCAGAGTTGAAAGGTTTTGATCCCATAAGTGATGTGCTGGTGGATGTAGGTGTAAATAAAGAAGAGAGTTTGAAAGTTATCAAAATGACTCCTTTGTCATTTCCCGCTGAAACTGAGGGGCTGCCCCAACGGGGAGATGAACCTATTCACACTGTGTCATGATTTATTTAAGAATTCAAAGAGGGTGTACATTCTTTTTCACATAGCTATATCTACTCCAGCCTTTGGCAGAGTTTTCTTTCCTTATGCACAAAAGCTGCTGGCTCATGTATGAGCCAGGATGTAGGGACATGTAAATGAGAAACTGAGATGGATATTTGGAGGGTAATGCCATAGCCTCTGTTATTACTCATAGATTTCAACCTAACAAGAAAGAAGTCCAGTTGCCATGACTCAATTTCCAGATAATCACACCTGGAAGACTGAGAATCTTATATTTTGCAGAGGCAGTTTTAAAAATGAGCCAGCATCCCCCCTTTTAATCATCCAGAGATGAGTACAGTGGCTAAATGCATATCTGTGCATATCCTATTATCAGACAGGAGAAAAGCAGTATTTCTTGGGCAAAGAAATCTCTCAAACCCCACTCATAGATTGGGATTGGGCCTACAAGATGAGAGATTTTCTGCATAGAAAGATGGCAGAAGCCGTTGTATGGGGCCTATCTGATGTGAGTTTACAGGGTAATCCACAAATGGCCAAGACGTACCTCTTGGGAGATCCCCAGCATGAGCTGTACCTATGAACACAGCCATTCCACAGAGCACTGATCCAGGTACAAATTCTGAATTCCTTGCATCACCACCAAGGAAAAAGAGCTGTACCTATGAACAATGCCAGTCCACAGAGCACTGATCCAGGTACAAATTCTGAATTCCTTGAATCACCACCAAGGAAAAATTTCCCATTTGAATGAAAGGCAAGTTCAAGGTTGTAGCATAAGACTTGACTTCTTCATCTTTTCCCCCTGATGGATGAATTATTTAGACGAGAAAGGAGGGAGTCTGTCTGCAATCTGCTGGTCGCATTCTTCTGCCTTTGGTGAGTCTGAAGCCCATAGGAATGCATTGAAGGGGTTTCAATGCATTCCTATGGGCTTTTAAAACTCGCATAGCGACGAAATCGCTTTACAGCGATTTTTGCTGCACGGATTATCGTCGCTATGCGAGGCACCACTGTATCGGTCTTTTCCCATGTGGTGTGATAACATAAGTGAGGATCTTTAAGTCCCAAGTTAAATTGATGAAATAAGTTTAAGTTCAAATTTCTTTCTAAATATTAATGCAAAGCTTTGAATTCAAATAGAATTTAAGGTGAGTTACTTTCCCATTACCCAAAAATTAACCTGGCTGGTTAATAGTGTCTTTCTGTTGGTATCTGATTAAAACAGACTTGTATTATATAAAATAGACAGGCAGACAGCAGGGGTGGCGGCAGATGAAACTTAAGGATAGATTTATTGAAAGCACAGGGATCTTTCTTGCCTGTAATTTAGTTGGTGCCCTATAACAATCAGGTTAGTGATCCTACATTGGTGTCTATGGTCCTTCCAGGAAACTAGAACGTTTCTGTGTTCTTACTTCTTGTCTCTAGACATTTCCTTTAGACGCCATGCAGCAGCCATATATCTGCTGATTTCGGTAGTCCGACTTGGGAAGTATAGCCTGCTGTCATTGCGGTTGGTACTGATCTGTGAAGGAAAGTATGATGCCATCAGAATAACATCTGGCACAAAACAAGCAACTGTACTTCACTGAAATTTTCCTTGCACCCTGCCTTCCTGAAACATCTGGTTTTTGAGAATCTACCTTGAAGTACCAACAAATGTTAAAAACTTTCCTTGCAGCTATAATGTCTCAATGGTTTGGCCTCTTTGTAAAACCTAGAATGTGTAGGATGTCAGCTTAGTTCTCATGAAATAATTCTTCCACATTTATCTCCTGGAAATGTCTTGAAACTCCACTCACCAACGGTGTGGTACACCATCCTATTTCTTGACTTTCTGTCTGTGGTTCTGTGTATTTTTTGTTTGGTTCAAGTGCAGCATGATGAATAAGCTTCAGAAAAGTAGCTGTTGGATTAAAGCAGGGATATTGAGAGTTCTATCTATTAGAGTTGTGTACATTCAGATTTGTTCACTTAAAAATGTTGAAAGGTAGGAGCTTCTTACCATCTTCGGGCTCCTCTAGGTTATCATGCCAAGACATAGGCTTTCCAGCTGGGGCATGTACTGAAGGCAAAAGCACAACAATGCAAATTCACCAAAGGAACTTAATCTCAGGCTTTTCTCCCTTGTCCTCCTTAACAAAGCTGGAAAGTTCCCCTTTCCCTCCTTAGCCTCCACTTTCTCCGGAGTAACAAAGATATATTGTTGATAAGACATGCATAAGATGGAGGTGGAGGGCACAAATTTGACATTTTTCAAAACCCGTGTATTGTTTTTGAGGGAAAAACCGGCATTTGGGCAACTGATTTATTTCAATGTGCCAATACTGCAATTAAAACCCAAATGCTGATGTTTTAGTTTAGAAAAAACAACTGCTCCTACACTGCAAGAGTTAAATCAGTGGTGTCCAACCTTGGCCATCCAGATGTTCTTGGACTTCAACTCCCAGAAATCCTGGCTAGCAGAGGTGGTGGTGAAGGCTTCTGGGAGCTGTAGTCTAAGAACATCTGGAGGGCCAAGGTTGGACACCACTGGGTTAAATACTTATTTTCCTCCCTATGTGTGGTATTAACAAATAAATACTTACTGGTCCTCCAATCCCCCAGTGGGCTAGACCGGTAATGATCGCCATTGCACCCTTCTGCTGGACCACTGCACCAGCAAAGGGGAGTGCTGAAATCCGGGATTGGAGGACAGGTAAGTATTTCTCTATGGCGACTTATGGCTCGTGTGCTCACAGAAAGGGCTCTGTGCCAGCTGTGGCACATGTATCATAGGTTTGTCATCACTGTTCTACTGCAGTGGTCCCCAACCTTGGGCCTCCAGATGTTCTTGGACTTCAACTCCCAGAAGCCTTCACCACCATCTCTGCTGGCCAGGATTTCTGGGAGTTGAAGTCCAAGAACATCTGGAGGGCCAAGGTTGGGGACCATTGCTATACAGTACTGTATTGTCAGTTTCGAGAAGGCTACTCCTCTTCAATAGTTGCATGGGCTCTGTGTGTCAGCTGTGGCACGTGTGTCATAGGTTTGCTATCACTGTTCTATACTGTATTGTCAGTTTCCAGAAGGCTACTCCTCTTCAATAGTTGCACCAAAGACAACTGTGTTCTGTGATGCAACAGATGTTTGCAGTTTTGCAGTTTTATGTTTGCAGTTACTGTCCTTTACTGAAATGTTGGTTTACAGTTTAACACAGAGAATACAGTGAAAGCAGTGGGCTCTCTTTTGTGATGCCTAGCTAAATTATCTTTGAAGCTGGCAGTTCTGTTTGAAGCTGGCAATTGGACTCCATGCAATCTGCTCCTAAGTAGATTTAGGCATACAGTACTTTATACTGTGTAGGATTGCATCTCATATTCCCAGCTGGGCAATAAGGCATACTTTGAGATTGATTACTGTTATATGGGTCTTGCCACAAACAGATGTAAACAACACAGGATTCCTGCAGTCTGGATCTGCAAGTTTCAACTTGATGCAACCATTGGACCAGTCCTTTTGTTAGGGAGGCAAAGGGGCCACCCCAAAAGGCAAAGCTTGATAAAGGAATAGTAGTAGCAGTTCATCAGCAGCTTTGATCTTGAGCTATCTGCTGTTTTCCTCCCCTAGAGAAAAGAGCTGTATAAGTCATAGTACTTACTCTGCACTCCACCTCCCTCCATCCCTCTGGCGCGCAGTGAAGAATG